TTCATGGTTTAAATGAATTTCCATAAAACACATGAGGTCACATAATGTGGTATAATAAATCTGGTCTTTGTCACTGGTTCCTGGCACAGAACTTCAAAAACCTTTGGAATTTCCTGAATGATGGGAAATTATTAAGCTAATAAAGTGACTCCTGGTGAGCCCCTGACTAACTTGAAAATTGGGRCTGGTCCCTTGAAGACCAACTGCAAGATTAAAAGGTGGAACTTTGGGTTAGGCCAGCCTCTGGGAGGACAGGAGAGCTGGGGATTGAGTCCAGTCTTGTAGCCAATTAATTCAATCACGCTTATGCAATAAAGTCCYGTTAAAAACTCTGAACACCACACTGTAGTATAAGCTTTCAACTTGGTGAACACATTGATGGGCTGGGAGGGTGACACACCCCGACTCCTCAGGGAGGYGACATGGGAGCCACACTCCTACAGCTTGCCCTATTTATCATCCTTTCCATAGAAATTATTTTTACTTCACCCAGCACAGCTCTTCKTCCACAGGTGCTGTGGCTGTCAAAGAAATGGAGTCATCTGCCAAGCTGGCTCACCTTACTACAAGCATTACTGAGCCCAAGGACATGGATTTGATCTCTATATAAGTCACATGGCTTTCCTTAGTTCCAAAGTTATAGTCCCTAATGAAAATCTTTGGCAACAGCCAATAAATGCAGGAACTATACAACACAAGGAGCTGGGMATATGTGACGCATCAGTGTGGTGGAAAAACCTCAAAAGTTTGTGTCCTTTAAAAACAACTGCAGACTAAATTAACAAACATGTTTGAAATAAAAGCAATTATTTAGGGGCTGGGGTTGTGGCTCAGTGGTAGAGCACTTGCCTTGCATATGTGAKGCACTGGGTTCAATTCTCAGCACTGCGTATAAATAAATGAATAAAATAAAGGTCTGTCAACAACTTAAAAATTTTTTAATCAATTATTTATTAAACACTTTTTGTGAGCCAGACACTATCTCTGTTTCAAGAAATGTTCTCAAAATTATTCCCTTTAATACTCAAATAATCCTTTACAAGATCGATACTATCAACCCTATTTATTTGGTTAACCA